AGAGCAGGAGAAGGGACAACTGGCATGGAAGAAAATGTTGGCATAATTTGAGTTGCAGGGGAAGAGGGTATAACAAATCCCGATGATGTAGTGAGAAAAGCATCCGGAGAGACAGAATATGACTTGCTCAGTTTGTTTGAATAACTTGCTCCTGACGCTGGGGAGCTGATGAGTATCGAAATGACAAGGCATGCATGGGCAACTTCCTTTAGAAAATACATTTGTTTGAAGCGGGAGGGTAAACAAGTGTAAGATAGAGTGGCCCAAAATATCTAGATATTTCTCTTCTAATGCTAGAGCGTGTAAGTCCATTAGTACTGTTCAGGCTAACTATCCAATCTAGTGAAGAATATGCAGTAAAGCCTCTGATTTATTCATCGATCTACTTATGATTGGCTCCTAGCAGTGGGAGGCCTGAGGCAAGATACGTAACTAGCCTACAGCTAAAAAACGAGCTTAAGGCTCGTCAAAAAGGCGAATTGCCGTCATAACTAGTCTTTATCCAGTTTTCATTATCTAGTCCGAAGGACACAAGATAGTATGCTCAGAAGCTAGTCTTGTGTTCGACAAGTTTATACTGGAAGGAATTATATTTGAAAAACATTATTAAGTTTAAAAGTTATAAACTGACTAGAGTCCTCTCACCTCTCTCTCTCCTACTAAACCAATATATTCAATGGACACGCAACTCAGACAATCCTCAGAATTTCGTTTTGCTTTCAAATGGCTACTGAGAAGTGATCAGTTATGATTCAATAAAAACTATTTGTGTAGAGTTTACATCTGAACAGCTAATAAAGTTTTCGGTCATAAATAATAAATCGTAGATATGAAGACCAGGTTAGCGTTACCTTATGTTTACCCGCAGTCTGTTTGACCTCTCTTTCGCAACTTGTTCGGAGCGACAGAGAGGCCTTGTTAACGTACCAAGTCCTAAGTCCTTTGCCATAGCAATCATGATGATCTTTAGCATAGGATCGTTTAATTTTTTATATTATAAGACGTCTCGTCGGCATCGTAAATGAGAGGCGTCAACCATAGTACAGAGTTATAACTTATCAAAGTGACAAGTAAAGGCAATCTCTTTAACCAATTTTATGTTCAACCGTTGTGGCATCACTCCTTGCCCCTTGTCTTTTTCCTACCTTCTAGTGCTGCCTCTCTTTCTCTCAGTCACACTATATCTCAAATTTAACTGTTCACTCTATTATATGCTCTCGTTTCATCCAATCTCTCTTCAAGTTGATCTGGTGAAGCATAATCACTTTTACCACCAGTTTCAGATGCAGCTTGCAGGACTTCTGACTTTCATTTGGCCTTACCTCTACCCCACTTCCAAGTCGTTCCCTGCTAAACATCAAAATCACTGTCTGGCTGCCTATGAACCTTCAATTCCGGTCCTCATTTAAGAAATATTTGAGGAATTAAAACTGGTGATTCTAATACCTAGACATCTTCTTCCCTTGGGCCTGACACACATGACCTAATTATCATCTTTCTTATCCACACGCCATTCTCCCTTACTCTTTTGGGCACAATGTCGGGCGTGATTCGGATCCGCGGGTGTGAGAATATACCATTTCCCTTCTCCATTCCTGAATCATGTAAAGATGACAGTGCCACCTTATACTACATTTTTAGTCAGTTGTCCATGTATATGTTGGTTGGTAACTTCCATGGTCAGGTATGTATACAGTCACCTCCGATTACACAAAAACACACGGAGAATGCACACCATTACACACACACACACACACACACACACA